TACATTTCCATTGCATAGCGCAAATAAAAACTCGACAGAAAAAACGAGTCAGTTTATTTTGGGTAAGAGTTCAGAAACGCGTTTTTAAGAGAGGTCCAGTAAGAAAAACGAGATGGCAACACGAGATAACAATAATCGAATCTTTTTTTCATCTAATCGCGACCATGAATCGTAACAGTTCATCAAATCTATGGGAAGGTGTAATCGGTCCATCCTTCAGCTGTGTCGGTTCGTGGCTCCAGGTTGAGAAGGCAACAGAGTCCACCTCGGGGTTTCCAGTCGCAGGTGACAGACAATAGCGTGCGTGTGTACTTACTGTAAATTGATCACTGGAACACAAAGACAACGTTGTGGTTATAATGATGAAGCCACCGGTGCTGGGATCCCAGCAGCCAGCTTTCGCCTGGGAACCTGCAAAGCCACTGTCGAATGAGTCTCTATGTGAATCTGTGAGTGTGTGGTTGTCTGTGTGAGTCTAAGGGTGTCTCTTTGAGAGAGCTCTGATGATGATGAAGCCACTGGCAGCGCATTCCAGTTTCTCTGTGGGTTTTAGTTTCCGACCCCTGCTCTAAGTGATGCGAATCGATGAGTGTCTGAGACTTTGTGTCTACGTGCGAGCAAGCTCGATGGAGCCACTCCTCAGCATATTTCCATTTTATCAGCGAATCCACCTGAACGCATTATCACCTCCGATTAGCTCGGTGGTCTACGTACGGTGCTAAAGAAGTTCAACATACACGCCTGAGACCAGAAAATCCTAGGTGGACTTTGTGGAGCCATTACAACCCCCGCTGACCCTCGTGTATGTACAATTTGGTCCTGCATGACGTACATTGAAAAGGTTAACTTGAGCCTGTTCTGGACAAGGTTCATGGGTGTCAATAAACAAACATAGAGCACGTATAGCCATGTTGTTAATCCACTGCTGGATGAGGGCCTCCTTATGCCGTGGGGGGGGGGGGGGACGCCGAGGTCGTTTGACCATACTTCACCACGCTGGTCAGTGCGGGGTGGTGAAGGCGGGGGGCACATAGACGTGGGAACATAGAAGCACAGTGCAACGCAATGTTTTCAATATTTAACGAATTACAATTTTATATTCTTTGGGTCTTTCGGTAAAGCCACGTAGATAGAACAAATAATAAAAATAATAAAAATAATATCACGACAGTTTCGATCGTAACACAAGCAATCGTCATCAGGTGAAAAATATAGCGGGAGAGCTGTTGGGGCAGAAAAAAAATATATGGTGGGAGCGCTGCTAAGGCAGAGAGTTATAAAGGTTTGACATGGGATTAGCCCAAGGGTCATTGGGCGGGGCTAGAGATGAAATTTGCATGTAAATGTAAGATCGGATAAATCTTTACAAACGAAGCTGTGGGGGTGGCCATTGTATTGTGAGAGAGTAGCATGTCAATGTAAGAAATTTGCTTGTAAATGTAAGCTCGGAGAGAGCTCGGAAAGAGACATCGCCACATGGAGGTGGAAATGGATGGCAAGCCGCCATTTACTCTATAAGTCAATATTATTTAAATGATATAAAACACGATTATGGGAATACAGTATTAATGGATCGCTCGTTGTCAAGCCACTGTTGGATGAAGTCTTCTCAACGCCGAGAGGCAGTTATGGGGGATTTGACCATACTTCACCACGGGGGTCAGTGCGGGTTGTTGGTGGGGGCCGCAGGACCAGTTCAGATACCACTATAACATCAGATACGATCTTATAGCCGTGGTCGAGAATTGAACTGCAGGTTGGCTGGGTTCATAGGTCAGTGCGCTAGCCACTGCGCCACCGCTCCCCTCGTATACGCCACTGTATTAAGGAAAGCCAAGGTTGACACACACACATGACACACCTTATGGCTCTCGCATAATGTCCGTGATGCAGTCATGTTTAGCCTGTTGATGGTCGGCGATGCGGCTATCGACTCATCTCGACGAGCTGTACACGATGCACCACTACAATGCGTACGAACGTTCAGGGTTTCAGCGCAATCGTCCTCGCTGCGTTTCGACATCGCGGAGTGGCACCGATTTCGGATCGATTGGTATCCCAAGTCGCGGAGTGAAGTAACACCCCTGGAAAAAAATTGTGTCCTAGAAATAATCCATTTAATTGCCTCGGCTATTCTGTATTCTTTGGTACCCCGGTGTACCGCCATAAAGATTATATGACTTTACATAACATGGGAGATGCACAGGACACCTCCTCATTGTGTAATCTATCACGACATCTATTCCCAAAGTCAACTATTCGCGATGATGCAAATCACGGCGCAGTCGTTATGCTCGGTGTGTGCGTGTTAGTTGCGGAGAGAGAAAAAAAACCGAGTGAAGCATTTGTCCCTCGGTATTTGCAAATGATATGCTTTGTAAGCTATATGCAATTATATATAAACACACACAGTGCTGAGATTGTATCATTAAAAGCCTTGACATGCCTGTATGCCCGCGTGCATGCAAATGCGTTTCACACACACAAATACACCTTCAACTCGAGTACTGTAACCCACAAAAAATGTCATCATCCTGATAATACTCACAAAGTCTGACATCGCTGCGAATAGACGCACATGTTAATAGCGGCCCTGTTGTCGAACCACTGCTGGATGAAGGCCTGCCCACGTAGAAATAAAATAGAATAAATAATTGAATACACGACGTTTCGATTGCAACACAAGCAACCGTCATCAGGTGAGAAAGAATGCAAGTTCGGAGAGAGACACACATACACAGAGAGACAAACACAGACACGGAAAGAGACACATACACAGAAAGACATAGAGACACACAGAGAGAGACACACACACACAGAGACACTCTGTGTGTGTCTGTCTCTCCCCCATGTGTGTCTCTCTCTGTGTGTGTCTCTCTCCGAGCTTGCATTCTTTCACACCTGATGACGGTTGCTTGTGTTGCAATCGAAACGTCGTCTATTCTATTATTTATTTTATGTCTACGTGACTTTACCGAAAGATCCAAAAAGTAATTCCTGCAGTCACGAAAGCTTCAAATCAAGTTTGACTACATCACTTTAGCGGACCATCTTCTTGGTTCTTTCGGTAAAGTCACGTAGAAGGGAAATAATAAACTAATAAAAATAAAACATAATAAAATAATTCTCACGACGCTGTCTTCCCGACAGACCTGTTCTTCACCTGAGGACGGCTGCTTGCGTTGTGGCCGAAACGTCGTGATAATTATTTTATCATGTTTTATTTTTTATTATTGTATTATTTCCCTTCTACGTGACTTTACCGAAAGAACCAAGAAAATGAATCCCTGCAGTCACGAAAGCTTTAAATCGAAATTTAGCGGACCAGTCGCAATGTGCGTCGGTCAGCAATGATTGGGTTTCCCCATCTGCACGCAACGTGCGTGTCCACGTGTTTACAGCAGCGTTCGCTGCGTGTCTGCCGCTCTATATGTGAGCGCATACGTGCACGTTAATGACACTTGTTCCCACACCCTATGTGTATGCAGTGGTGGTACAAAGGCCACTTGGGGTCACGAATGCAGAACTTACCTTGGGATGCTACGACGTTTTCCTTCATGATACGAGAGTTATAATAATAGGGTTTCCCCCTTTTTTCTGGCAACAAAACTGAAACCTTTTTACGAGGATTCATGTCTGCATTAACCACAATATCTGCAGTCAAATGCAAAAAAAACCACACTATGATAATATATGCATTGTCCTTGAAACTGATTGGTCCACACCAAGGGACGGCTTTCTTTTGAGCCTCGACCCAATTGGTGCTCGACCAGAGGACGCCAAAAGGCGTACAGCTCAAAGACAATGCAATATCAAAGTAATGAGGGCTCGGGGTGAGCATCTACATCATTGGGGGAAAACCCTATTATTATATGTTGGTACTGGCAAAGGAGGTCCAATGATGGAGATACGAGAGTTGTTTGAACAAATTAAAGGCAACACACTCTATTAGCAAATAGCATAACACGTATGTGTTATAGCGTCGTTAGTAATAATGATACATGAAAACAACTAGATTAATTTAGTTGTTTCATTTTTATTATTTTTTTACCTACGTGACTTTACCAAAAAAACCAAAGAGTATGGATCCTTGCAGTCACGAAAACTTCAAATCTAGAAATAATGAGACATATACAGGACGTATACTTAGAATCAAGAGGTAAGGGCTGATATTTGGTGGTGCACCATTGTTTAGGTATCAATCCCATCACCCCCTTGAAGTTATTTGAGACTCAAAGTGGTTGGCTTCACCCGCGTATGTCGAAGTGCTACCGATTGCACGTGTCCGTGTGTGGGGAGCGGTAATGTAGTGTTTAACGCGCTGCGCTACCAACCCACTGAACCGGTCCTGAGCTTCCTCCCCGAGGTCGACTCAGCCTCAAATAAGTATCCGGTGTGGTGTGGCGTAAACATCGCCATACAGGGGAGACAAAGGCGGTCGGGCATGGTGTTTGGCCACCCACCCACCTCGTATGCCCTGCCGACCTTCATAAGCACTTGCCCCAACATTCTGTTTTCAGGCTATACGTGGTGGGTGGTGGGAGGAGGAGTGAATCTTTGCCATTCGTGGTCACATACTCTTAGGTTTTTTCGGTAAAGTCACGTAGGTAAAAAAGAATAATAATAAAATGTATCACTTGATACAGTAAATTTAGCTGTGACGGTCCCACCTGATGACGGAGACTTGTGTTGCCTCCGAAACGTCGTGATTTATAATTTTATTTCTATTATTATTTCTATTATTTTTATTATTTATTTTTACCTACGTGACTTTATCGAAAAAAAAGAATATGAATCCTTGCAGTCACGAAAGCATTCAAATCTAGAATTCGTGGCCACACCAATTGAAAGAACGTGCCACCACTGCATCACAAAGGGCATCTCTACTCCGCCCAGCGAGAGGCGGTGCCTTCTCCCGCATCAATGGGGGGGTGGGGGCGTGTTGAGAGATCTGATCATGACAACCAGACTCGCCTTGCTCGCTACATCCACCAGGGCAGCAAGCCGTGGCACACGCGCTAAAGCCAGCCAGCCAGCAAGCCACACCAGTGTAGCCCGGGCTCACGCGGCTACCTGAATGTGTTGTGGCTGGCGCGTTGGGAGGATCGAGGCTGTTTGAGCAGGGGGTGGGTGGGTGGATGGGAACGGGGTCATTCTTGCGCGCAGAAGGCGGTGTCGCCGCCTCTTCAAAGCGAAAAAGAATCCAACATTTAAACCCCTGGCCGCAACTCGGAACAGGTGTAGTAGGGTAGATGAGGATCACCCTGTGAAGCCCCCCCCCACCCCTCGTCTGTGTTCTACCCGGCGAGATTCTCGTGTGCTGCAGCCAGGTGTCGTGACGATGGTGGCAATGGCGTGATTCAACAACGTAAGCTGCGGATGAATTGATCGCAGGGATTGATCGATCAGTGAATGAATGGTTGGTGATCTGCGAAGAGGCATCGGGTGCTGGTGCGATTGGTCTTATGAAGTCGGCACTGATATTCAGTAGTTTATCAATTAGGTAGCAATCGACAAGCAAGTAATAAGATTGCGAACAACCGAAAACAATACTGTCAACGTAATTGTATTTTTTAATGATAGGCTATAGACTCATGCAGCCTAGAGACACCCGTCCGTCAGCAGTTGGAGTTGTATCAGATTGAGAATTCCATCTGTGTCCAGAGGTGTAGGAGGATATCCGCAGACTCCATCATCATCATCAGCAGCAATATCAACATCGCCCCGAAGAGCAGAATCGGAAGCGTTATTCAACAGCATAACCTGCAGCAGCGAAATCATCATCAGCAACAGCAACAACAGCAGCGGCTTCACCACACTGGTCTCTCAAGGCTCGAGCGATGAACATTGAGCATCACCAGGAGCTGACTCTGCTCTACCCGGCCATGAGGGTAAAGGGGGCCTTCTCGCCTTTCCGCCGCAAGAAGGTGCTGCACCGACACGTGAGGACCATCTTCGACAGCACCGGCAGCGACCCGAGGCTGCGGGAGGAGAAGGGAGAGGGCCATGAGTTCCGACCCTACACCAACCCGCAGTTCTGCGACCTCTGCGGCGAGTTCATCTGGGGGGTCTACAAGCAGTCCCTACGCTGCCGGAGTGAGTAGTTGTTGAGTGTGTCCGTGTGTGTGTGTGTCCGTCTGTGTGTCCGTGTGTGAGAGAGAACGTGTGAGAAAGTGTGTGAGTTGGGAATTGTGTGAGCGAGAGTGTGAGTGAATGAGAGAGTGTACATGTGATTGAGTATATGTGATTGAGTATAACTGAGAGAGTGTGTGAGTGAATGAGAGGGGGTGTGTGTGAATGTGTACATGTGATTGAGTATACATTAGAGAGTGAGTAGTGATTGAATGAGAGTGTGTGTGTGTGTGAATGTGTACATGTGATTGAGTATAGATTAGAGAGTGTGAGTGAATGAGAGTGTGTGTGTGTGAATGTGTACATGTGATTGAGTATAGATTAGAGAGAGTGTGAGTGAATGAGAAGGTGTGTGTGTGAATGTGTACGTGTGATTGAGTATAAATGAGAGAGTGAGTGAATGAGATGGTGTGTGTGTGAATGTGTACATGTGATCGAGTATAAATGAGAGAGTGAGTGAATGAGATGGTGTGTGTGTGTGAATGTGTACATGTGATTGAGTATAAATGAGAGAGAGTGTGAGTGAATGAGAAGGTGTGTGTGATTGTGTACATGTGATTGAGTATAAATGAGAGAGTGAGTGAATGAGATGGTGTGTGTGTGAATGTGTACATGTGATCGAGTATAAATGAGAGAGTGAGTGAATGAGATGGTGTGTGTGTGTGAATGTGTACATGTGATTGAGTATAAATGAGAGAGAGTGTGAGTGAATGAGAAGGTGTGTGTGATTGTGTACATGTGATTGAGTATAAATGAGAGAGTGAGTAGTGATTGAGTGTGTGTGTGTCCGTGTGAGAGAGAGAGAACGTGTGAGAAAGTGTGTGCGTTGGTAATTGTGTGAGCGAGAATGTGAGTGAATGAGAGTGTGAGTGAATGAGTGTGTGTGTGTGTGAATGTGTGCATGTGATTGAGTATAAATTAGAGAGTGAGTGAGATGGTGTGTGTGTGAATGTGTACATGTGATTGAGTATAAATTAGAGAGTGAGTAGTGATTGAGTTTGTGTGTGTCCGTGTGAGAGAATGTGTGAGAAAGTGTGTGAGTTGGTAATTGTGTGAGCGAGAGTGTGAGTGAATGAGAGTGTGTGTATGTGAATGTGTACATGTGATTGAGTATAAATTAGTGAGTGAGTGAATGAGAGGGTTAGTGTGTGAATGTGTACATGTGATTGAGTATAAATTAGAGAGTGAGTGAGTGAATGAGAGGGTGTGTGAGTGAGTGTATGTATGACAAAGAGTGTGAGTGATCGAATGTGTGTAACTGTGTAAGTGAACGCATCTGTTGGTGTGTGAATGAGTAGACGTGTGAGTGAATTAATGTGTGAGTGTACGTGTGGAACTCCGTATCAGCCAGTGTGTGCAAGTCAATGTGAGGGTGCGTGAGTTGTGTGTGAGTGAATTAATATTTGCTTTCTAACAGCACTTACCCTAACCGTCTGTTAATAATATACGGGGGATCTTTATCGTCGTGTGTCTAGTTTATGTGTTACACATTTGTACTTGCATATGCAGTGCAGTATGTTGCGTTGTATGGGTGTACCTGTGAACGCGTCACAAAAGTGTTCAACTGCATATGTAAATGAGTGTTGGCTTAATATTTACAATGAATAATACAGGTGTGTGGAATTAATCCTGCTCAGACACGGGCACTGATTCACAGTCTCTTGCTTCATCGCTGTGATTATACAGATCAGTGACGTGCGGTGAGGTCAATGGCTGGGGAGGCACTGGCTCGTGTCAGAGCCAGATTCACACACTGAGGGGGGCGTGACCTCACGGAGGGGGGCGTGTTAGACACGTCCCCCTCAGTGAGGCAGATGTGATAGCTGCCTCCCCTGGTGCTTTTTCATTGCAATTTCATGACGAGACCAGCGAGCCTAAATATCTTTGTACACATACGTGAAATAAGTTACTTGGAGTATGGAAGGCGAGGACATGAAATAAAGGGGTCTACAAACATCACATTGGTGACATACTGAGATAGTAACAGGCACGCGCTTATTGCCCGCGCTCCATCCAGTTACTGAGGGGTTGCGCAATCAGAGGGGAGGCTGAGCTCGTCGCTGCCTCACCTCTCGTCTTTTCCTGTATTTGCAGCGGAGCTCCGCAAATTTGGCGATTTTTACTATAAAAATGATTGGAATCGTACAGAAATGACATTTATAACAGATCAGTGGAAAAATCTTAATATTTATTTTATTTGATTATTTTTTTTTACTTTTCGTAACAGCTATTTTCATTGAAGTATTACAGGTGAGGCTCTGCCTCCCCTGCCTCCCCTGACCTCACGTCCCTGGTACACAGTGTCCAATTAAAATCACATTTAGACCTGTGCTCTTTGCACCATTTAACCCCATCCATTATTGCAAACGGCGCTTGTGTTTTTATCAATAACACCATCAACCAACAGGCACGTGGCTGATACGGTACAATAAAAACCTGCCGTATATTACGGGGAAACTCGTTATATCCAATGTGATAGGAAGGTGATGGGGGGAGGGGGGCTGCATCCTACTTTATGTGCTCATCCTAAACACAGATAATGTTACATTTACCACCACATCCTAAACACAGATAATAGGTTACCTTTACCACCACATCCTAAACACAGATAATAGGTTACCTTTACCACCACCTTCGGCTCGCTCCCGTCCGTGGCGTAGAGTGGTTGGCGTGGGACCAGGTGCAAGGAGAGTAGTGGAGCCCCCCTCTATTAAATTATCCAACCCCCCCCCCCTTCTGTATAACCCAGCACCTGGGTCCTCCGAGCCCGTGGGCCTCAGTGCAGTTGCACCGCCTGCACACTCAATAGCTGATTGCACAAGCTCCTGTTTTCCGTGCGATGGCTTGGTTCATACGAAGCGTGCGACGCAGAGGTGACAGGTAGAAGGTACGTGGATCACTCGGGCTCGTATAAGAGGGCATCGGAAATGAGGAGTATCAACCTCGTTGCAATTGCACACCACACAGCGCTTGGCCCTTCACTTGCGAGGCAGTGTTTTGCAATCCCCGTGGGCGCTTGGGCGATTCCAACACTGCCGTGTACCCTTTAATTTAAGGCTGTCAGTCATAGATGGCATTTCTGAAAATGAAAAGGCCAAGAAGTGTTAATGCTGAGCTGCAAGAAGTCAGTGGGTAGATATGTCACAGTGAATTCAATACACCCAGACAAGTATTTTTCATAACTTTGTTTTGTCGGCCCTACCAATGAATCGCTTTGAAGCACACTCATTCGTTCTTTAAGCCACGTGGAAGGCAGTCTGTATGATTCTGAAGAGGGTGATCCCTCACTTATAATAATAATACCCTTTGCCCAGAAAAAAACTCAGAGTCCTTCGGACTATGCATGAGAATCCTTGCATTGAAATGTATGGCCAATTCGGGTGGTGGCGGGTTTTAATGACACATTTATATATGTACGCGATCTAACCGAAAAACACCTCTATTATGGATGATATTGGTCGCGAAAGCCTACGTGTTAAACTCCATGAATGAGTGTTTGACACAAGGGAATAAACCAAAGTACCTGGAGAGAAGATAGATTCAAGAATACATTGTTCTACTGTCATCTACTGGCCACCTTGAAAACCAAACCTATTACACCTGGTATGGTCAGGCACGCTCTCACCGATATAGCTGGCTCCTCCTCACACGTCAGTCGCTCTCTCTCTCTCTCATCGAGAGGGAGCGAATACTGTGCACGTGAGAATTTGAAATAATTACTGTATGATTAATAACCGGCCTGAAAGCCGCTTAGCTTCCGAAATATGATGAGATTGGGCATGCTCGGGTGATTGAATAATTGGACAAATGTAGTGTGCACATGTAGCCCATCGTAATCATGAAACGTTCTCTATCCACTGCTGAATTGAAGCAAGGCTTCCTACACTGGAGAGGCTTTGTGCTGGTGAATGGGTGGCATGGTACCAAAGTGTCCTTATTTTTCACCTTGAATGCAGAGTTGTACATGTCCAGTGGCTCAATTCCGACAGTCACCTGGTATTTATGTTTGGTGCATTACAGCTATTACCAGTTTGGACTGCTTTCTGTAGTTACTGGCCTTTGTCAATTTGGATGAAGGCCTCCACATGCCATATCAGTTATGGGGGCTGTTTGAATATACTTCATCATACTGCTGGTGAGCGTAGATTGGTGATGGGAAGGTGCAAGATCGATGCAGATATCACTCACGACTATTCCGAGTCATGGCTGGGAATCAAACCCAGGTTTCCGGGTTCATAGGCGAGTGCATTGACCATCCCTCTCCCCTGCCTTCTGTATACCCATGTATATGTACACCCCGTTTGTTGATCCACTGCTGGATGAGGGCCTCCCCATTCCCTCTGGGTTAGGCAGTGGACATTAAACACCCTGATTCATTGTTCACAGCTATAGGCCATTTTTTTACCAGTGTAATGAAGTCTCAATGCAATTCTCCAGTGAGACCCCCCCCCCCCTTCTTGTATAATGTACCATCATGGATTGAAATCAATACAGAAAATCATTAATAATCTATTAAGCCATTGAATGATTTAGTTTTATATTATGATTCATTTTTAAAAAATACAGGCCACAGCTGAATTCGCAAAAGCCCTCCCATCAACAGCAATTATACCCAGGCCCATCAAAGTCATTAGCTAATGCATTTATCCATATTTTGTGTGTGTGTTTGAAAACATATTTTTTAAATTTGCAGTCCCTTGACAATCCACTGCTGGATGAAGGCTTCTCCTGCCAGTTTGGATAGGGGGGTTGTTTGAATATACCTCACCCCGATGGTCAGTGCAGGGTTTGTGAAGGCTGGGGGCCCAAGACCGGTTCAGATATCCCTTGCACCTGATGTTAGCCACGGCTGGGAATTTAGTTTGGGTTACAAGGTTATACCACAGCGTGCTAATCGATGTGCCACTACTGCACCACCGCTTCCTCGTGTATATGGCATAGTGATAATATTGTGTTAAAACAAT